GGGGAGGCTGCACGCACCGTGCACAGGGGGGCCATTATAGGCATTGCGAAGAGAAGCCGTTATAGGCATTGCACGGGGAGGCCGATATAGCCATTGCATGAGGAGGCTGCACGCACATTGCATGTGGAGGCTGTTATAGGCATTGCATGGGGAGGCTGCACGCATTGTGCACGGGGAGGCTGTTACAGGCATTGCAAAGGGAGGCCGTTATAGGCCTTGCACGGGGAGGTGGTTATAGGCATTGAACAGGGAGGCTGCACGCACCATGCGTGGGAGGCCGTTATAGGCGTTGCACGGGGAGGCTGCATGCACCGTGCGCGGGAGACCATTATAGGCATTGCGCAGGGAGGCCATTATAGGCATTGCCCAGGGAGGCTGCATGCATTTTGCACAGGGAGGCCATTATTCATGTTGCACAGGAAGGCTGCACGCACTTTGCCCAGGGGTGTTGCCTGTGCATTGCACAAGCAAGTTGCACACTTGTTGCACAGGGAGGTTGCATATGTGTTGCACAAGGAAGCTGCACGTACTTTGAACAGGGAGGCCATGCATGCATTGCACAGGGAGGCCGCATGCACGTTGCACCAGGAGGCTGCACGCGCATTGCATGAGGATGCAGCGCACATGCTGCACAGGGAGGCTGCATGCACGTTGCACAAGGAGTCTGCATGCATGTTCTACAAGGAGGCAGCATGCGTTTTGCACAGGAAGCAGCACACAGACAGGCCACACGTGCGTTGCACAAGAAGGCTGCACCTGTATTGCACAGGGAGACCACACACATTTTGCACAAGGAGGCCACACGTGTGCTGCACAAGGAGGACTCACACTCGTTGCACAGGGAGGTCGTGCACGTGTTGCAGACGGAGGCTGCACACGCGTTGCACAGTGGGGCTGCGCATGCATGTTGCACGGGGAGGCCGCACACGCGTTGCACAGGGAGGCCGCATGCCCCTGTGCGCGGCACGAGGAGGCCGGGCCTCACCGTACAGGGAGCCTCCCCCGGCGCCAGGCCCAGCTGAACCCAACCTGTGGCACCTCTGCCCTCCTCCGGCTTCCTGGTGGAAAAGCAGCAGGATGAGAAAAGGGGAAGGAGAGGGAGAAAGGGAGCTGGGAAGGTCTGTGGTAGACTGGAGCCCATCCCATTCCTGTCCCTGTCTCTGTCCCACCACGTGGGGACACCCCACTGCGTCCCCATCCCGCCGTGTCCTCACTGGGCCCTCCCGGCCTCTCCCCTCTCCCACGTAATGTTTGTCCTACCTGCCGGGTGGGACAGGATTAACTTCCATGGGAACGCGGCGCCCAGAGTAAATACCTCCGAGCAGGGGAAGTTTGGCAGCAGAGACAGTTTTTCTCTCATTTTTGTTGTTTTTTTTCAACGTGTTGGCAACTCCCCTGCTCCTCTCCTGGGTGCTCATGACCAGGCATGAGCAGGAGCCTCCACGGAGGCCACAGGAATCCGCCGCCTGCGAGACCCGCCCGGAGAATCCCAAAGGATTCGTCCTGGTCCCGGCGCTGGACAAGACCTCGAGGGCTCCTGAGCTGCCCCAGGCATCGGTGGGACCCCTCAAGCCCTTCTAGGCTTTGTCCTGCTCCCCTGGGCACACTCCATGCGTCTCCATCTCCTGGAAACCTGCTGTCCAAGGAAGACACGGACCGGCAGGTAAGGGAGGAGAACCCCAAGAGAGCTCCACACCGGAGCCAAAGGAACATGGGTTATTTGGGGATGGGGGCCACCGCCGCTGGCTGGGGACGTTTCCCCCTCTGTGGTGACCACCAGCACCCCGACCTGCTCCACGTATTTGCTTCTCTCGCTCCGGGGCAGAGATCCAAGTTCAAGTTCCTTGATCGCCCAGCCGGCCTAATCGCTGGCACGCTCCGTGGCACCCTTTGGATCCTGCTCTCCTGGGGAGCCCTTGGGCATGTTTTGTGGGACAGTGAGAAGCGAGAATCCCAAATCTCTTCAGATTCATGGGACCGAAGAGCCTGATAGGGAGAACCTGTCTCCCAGGAGATGCTGGTCCTCAGAGGAGACCCCATGGTCCCCGCTGGCCAGATCTGCAGCAGGGTGGTGGGTGCTTGGCCAGAAATGCATGAGGAAATAGATGATTAAAGGTAGGAGCCTGGCTAAGCTATTCCCATAGGGAAAGGGAAGGGATATGGATGAGAAGGCTGGAAGGAACCAACTGCTTCACAGCAGCGTGGGCAGAGCATCAGCACTGGCCCATCTCGACACTGCCACCTTGTCCCAGCACCTCGCAGTGGCCTCAGGTCATCCCTACTCCAGTCTGGGATGAAAGGAGATGATTTCTGAGCTCAAGCAGGGAATCTCGGTGGGTGCTGGAGCCGCCGACTCGCCCAGGAGCACCCAGTGCAATAAAAATTCTCCTGCCCGCTCACGCGTCGCTGTGCGGCCCGGGCTGCGCTCCCCACCTCTGGTTAATGTGTAACCCACAAGTCACCTGGGCACATTTCTGCCATTGCGACGTTGGCCCTTCCCGGCTGGGTGCATCCCTGCCCCGTGGGCCACGGGCGTTTTTGTGCAATGCGCTACCTGCTTGCACAGAGGGTGAACAACGAGCTGGGGAGAAGTCGGTGAGAGCTGGTACCTCCATGGAGCAGGAGGATGGTGGCGATCCCTGGTTTTGGTCACTCAGACAGCCGGTTTCCTTGGGAAGAGATGCTTGATCTATGGGGAGCATCCCCAGAGATGTCTGGGCCAATGGGGCTTTGCTCATTTTTACCTCTGCGGCCAAAATTGTCCCCACCACAAGTGCCAGTATCCAGCACAGGAGGAAGATCCACATGGTCCCTGTCCCTGCAGTGAGGACCATGGCAAAGCTCTTCTTTCCACCACACAGCCCCAGGGATGATAATGCACCAAAGCTCATGGAGAACCATGGACCTACCAGGGCATCGGCATGAAGGAATCTGTCCTCTCCAGACATGGACATCAAACCCTCTACCACCTTCATGGCTTAGTGGGAAAGTAAAGCCAAAATAAGCGTGAGACCTTCTGGAAGGGGCTTTCATTTTACCCTGTCTCCAAGCAGTTTATTCTGCCAAGCTGGAAGGAGGATGATGCCATGTCCTGCTAGGAGATGAGCCCCTTCTGATCCTCTCAAGTCCAGGAGAACAGCTATGGGTCAGCCAAGGGGAAGTTGGCACCTTTGGGCTGAATCTGGTGTTAAAACTAGTAAAAATGCATATTGGCCCCAAATTCTGCAAGAGCTTTTCCTCTAGGTCAGTATATAATGTCAGTGGCTCCAAAACAGAAACTGGAGATGACTAAGGAGAGTTTCCTGCCTACAGGAGCCTGGGGAACTTCATTGTTTGACTCCTTTCCTTTTGCATCCGTCTTCTCCATGAGACCCTGACACCGAATATTACCTCCAGTGGCCTAGAAATGGAGCCTCGTGGAGGTTTTGCTTGCTTGAACATGGGGCTATAGGAGACCAAAGCATCCTTATAGGAAGGGATCCCATCATTTGGGGGATCCTCCAAGGAAAAGCCCATCTTCCTTTCCAATAAGGAGAAGGAAACAGAGATGAAACTCCTAGGAGGAGCTGTTGGGAGGAGACCAGACATTTCTCTCCAGAAATACAAACTGGGAAGTTGAGATCATCATCATCACTGACAGAACCCAGCTCCAAAAGTAGTACTGGGAAAGGGGAAGGAAATGGTGGAAATTTTCTTTGATGGTCTCCAGTTTCCCCTCCATGTCATTAACACCAGCATGGAAGAGCAGCAGAGGGGAATGGTCCAGGGTGTGGACAAGCCTTGGTGGTATCTCCATGATATCCCTTATTCGAGCACCTGGCAGGCAACAAACCTCTCAGGACAGGGGCTCGGGATGGCAGCAGTGTGCCCTCGTTGCCAAGAAGGCCAGTGGGATCCTGGGGTGCATTAAGAAGAGCGATGAGGAGAGGCTGAGGGAGCTGGGCCTGTTCAGCTGGAGAAGAGAAGGCTGAGAGGGGACCTGAGCAGTGTCTAGAAGTACCTCAAGGGAGGCAGTGAGGAGGATGGTGCTGGCCTCTTTTCACTGGTGGCCACCGACAGAACTAGAGGTAATGGCCACAAACTGAAGCACCAAAAGTTCCACAGGAACTTAAGGAAAAATTCCTTACCAGTGAGGGTGCCAGAGCACTGGAACAGGCTGCCCAGAGAGGTTGTGGAGTCTCCTTCTCTGGAGATCTTCCAAACCCGCTTGGACGCAGTCCTGTGCCACGTGCTCTAGGTGACCCTGCGTGTGCAGGGGGTTGGACTAGATGACCTCTAGAGGTCCCTTCCAACCTTAAGCATTCCGTGATTCTATGATTCTATGGCAAGTTGGGACCTCCATCCCACCGCAGCCACTCGCTGCTGCTGCTGCTTCTGCGTCTTCCTCCACACGCCGGCCCTGTTGACCCGGTCACTTCCCTCTAAGCCAATCCCAGCTCCTCCTTAACCTGGAGGGCCCTCAACCTGCTCCTCAACTGCAAGTTTTCTGCAGGAGTAAGAGCCTTTCTCCTCCAAAAAGCGACCAGTTTCCAGCTTTCTTCTACACACAGCATAGAGTCCTCCAGCTACTCCACTGGGGCTACGCATAGTCTGCAAGAAAACCCCATCCATCTCTTGCTCCAAGAAAACCCCATCCACCTCATGCTCCTCTTCTCAGAAGCCACACAGGCTACTGACTTCCCCCCATGGCTCCCAAACTCCTTCAACCATGGGAGATGATTTCCCCTGGATTTTTATCCAGGGCACACTTGCTGGAAGGTCACTGTTCCCGTGCAATAGGAAAACCTGTGTTCCTGGGTGAGCTTCTCCCCGGCTCCGAGCGTGTTGCTCCTGCTCCGCGCGGGCAGGCGAGCAGCAAAACGCTCTCACCAAGCCCACTCTTACACAATAGCTGCCCCGGGGAGCAATTTTTCATCTCTGAGTCATAGGGGAAATGAAAGAAGAATTTATTGTTTCGAACTGCGTGAAAAAAACTCTAATCCATTTACTCCAGGCATTCAGACTGCGCCTCTGGAAAGTCCCAGTGTTTGGCGTAGCTAGAAACATTATAGGCATAGGGTTATAAGCATCAGCTAAGCTCGGCTTCATCGTGTCCCTTCAGCACAGAAAGATGTGCAGTCTGGCAATGCATCCCTTAAAAAAACGAGTGGAAAAAAGAGTCTGGATCTGCCTGGAGTGATCCCGATGTGATGCTCTTGCTGGATGACTCTATAGCGTGTGCCCTTATTTCTGTCATATGGAGGCTCAAGGTGTCCCCGTGCCCCGAGTGGGTGCATTTGCTGGTGGAAGGAGGAAGGAGATGTTGCCTGGGGGGTGAAGGCCACAGTGCTGGATGCAGGTCCAGAGCTGGGAAC